TATATATATATATCTGGTACATATCTGGTATTCAAAATACACAAAGAATTCAGTATTAAGAAAACAACAATTTAAAAATGAGCAAAAGATATGAATAGTCACCTCATCAAAGAAGATAAGGTACACTGTTACACTGTTGACTGGACACTGTTGTACACTGTAGAAATGTAAAACAGTGTAGCCATTATGGAGAAAAGCATGGAGCTTCCTCAAAAAACTAAAAAAAGAACTACCATATGATCCAGCAATGCCACTGTCAGGTATATAACCAAATGAAAGGAAATTAGTACGTGGAAGAGACATGCACACTTCCGTGTTTACTGCAGCACTATTCACAATAGCCAAGATATGGAATTGATCTAAGCGTCCATCAACAGGGTCAAGAAAATATGGCATATATATCCGTAGTGGAATATTATTCAGCCATAAAAACAGAATGAAATCCTGTCATTTGCAGCAACAGGAATAGAACTGGAGGTCATTATATTCAGTGAAATAAGCAGGCACAGAAAGATAAACATTGCATGTTCTCACTTATACGTGGGAGCTAAAAAGTGGATCTCGTGGAGGTGGAGAGTGGAATGGTGGTTACCAGAGGCCAAGAAGTCAGGGGTTGGCGGGGGAACGGTATGAAGAGAGGTTGGTAAATGGGCACAATGCAAATTAAAACCATAATGAAATACCATTTAAATCCCTCAGACTGGCAGACTCTAAATCAAACAAAACTAGTGTTAGTGAGGTGAGGAATAACAAAGCCTCGGATCCACTGAGGATGGGAGTGTGCGATACAGTTTGGCATTACCCAGCAAGGCTGAGAATACGGGTACCCCACACCTGGCAATCCTAGAGAAACTTCTGCACGTGTGCATAATAACACAGTCTGTAACATTAAAAAACAGGATAGAGTCCAAATAACCATCAATTACAGAATAACATATTTCAATGGAATGCTAAATAACAAAGTAGGAAACAATCAAAACTAAACATATGTTATTTATTGATACATCTATATATGGGTTTTAAAAATATAAAGAAAATCAAGGGAATAATGAATGTAAAATTCAAGACTCATATACCTGAGGATGGGGGACATGAAGAGGGAGGCGGGGGGGGTGTGGGGTGTTCAGGGGTCCTATGGTACAGGTGATTATCTTCTTCAGCTGGGGGGTGGCAACACATGTTTACTCCATGTTTACACAAACTATACATTTTATATACTCTTTTGCTTACATGTATACTTCACAATAAAAAAACTGTCAATAAAGAAAGCAAAGAAATAATTATTAGGAAGGCAAAACTGTGTAATCTTACCAGGATAAGAATGATTCTGTTTATTGGAAGAAATTTCTGAAAGAGTATCCAGGGAATCTGTTAGTCTGTGAATAAAACAAAGTACACCTTATTCAAAATAGCTGATCTCCAGATTTAAGATGGGCTCTTAACTAAGGTTTTCACACCAATTGCTACTTGTTATTTCATTCATTCAACAAATATTTACTGAGCACCCGTCAAGAGACAGGAACGAGCTTGAATCTCGATGTGCACGGGAGACAGGCAATAGTCACACAGAAGAGGTCCTCGTCATCTAAGGCTAATTAGTATACACCAAATCAACTTAAAGTGAATTCCCTTAAACTACGGACATGACTATTTCTTTGGAACTTTATCTTCAAAGGTGAAACTAAAAAATATGAAAATAAGTTTATATTAAATTTAACAAATGTTAGATTAAAATTATTTTAAAAATCACTAATTCTTAAACTGAAAGAAAGAGACATTGGCTGAGTTTGTGTATGTGTATGATTTTTCTGACAAGACTGTATAGCTAATACAAGTCAACATCTTTTACTTTTTATTTGACGCTAAGCACAATCTTAAAGGTCACTTTCCCAATGGGCTTCCCTTCATTTGTTGATATTCAAATCATTCTTTATTTTAATAAAGCCAATCCTGACAGCCTCATTCTCTTTCAACTGTGTACTGACCTAAATCTGCAAGTCCTTCATGTGTCAATCACTTCCTCCAGCATATTTTATTACCATCAAGAAATCCTGCAACTCTTGCAATATTTGCAATTTCCTCTTGCAACTCTGATTGGTCACTACCGGATTAAGATTGTCCTCAGGCAGTCCCTAGTTTAAAATACTTCCATCTTCAAGATTAGAGGTATCTTTAAAGAGCTCCAAAGTTGGTTTAGATTAGAAACTCCTCAAAATCAGGGACCATGTCGGTTTTATTTTCTTACAGAATGCCTAGCACAGCACAAGTGCTAAAAGACACTTAATAGTATCTGATGCTGATGAATGAAACAATCAGAAGATGACAGGAAGACAGCTGGATCGAGAGAGCAGTTCATTTAGAGAGAGCCTCTTTCTTTTAAGAGGGGCCTGCTTTTAAATGCACCGCCTTAAAGACGACTGAAATAGAAGGTGAGTAAATAACTATGTAATAAACAAGTGCTCCATAAACCAAAAGAGAAAAAAAATGAAACCTGAGAAAGTAAGTGGCTTCACAATATCAAGGAGAAAAGGCTGTTACGGCATGAAAAGCACTGAACTAGAAATCTGATTCGATCAATATTTACTGTGCCTAAAATATGCCAAACTATGTACTCTGGGCAATCAAACATGAAGAGAAGAGTCCCAGTCCTCATGACTGGGAGACGAAACTTGTAAGAGACTCTGGCAATGTGATGATGAAGATGCGTCCAAAGTAACGTGAGAACACAGGAGACTGACTGGTGACTCAGCATGGATTTTACTCCCAAATCCATCATTTACAGGATATAGGTCCTGAAAAAAGTCACTGAGGCTCTTGTAACCGCTACAGGGTTATGGTGAAGAGCACACATTCTGAGACTAGACTACCTGGGAGCACAGCTCACTCCACCTGCCTGTGTCTCACTTTCCTCACCTGGGAATAACCACAGGGTTGTTGTAGAGGAGAAAAGGGGTTAACATGAAGAGCACTGAAAATGGTGCTCAGCACCGTTTCACCGTGTAGAAACACTACACACAGCTATTACCTCCTTATCTCCATTTCACAAAAAAGAGCAATCTGTCTAAAAGCAAGGGCTTAGGAAAAAACACTAACAACAAAACAACATGCCTGGGCTGAGTCCACCTCCACCACTAATTAGCTACATAACTTTAGCTAAGTTACTTATCTCTTGAAACTTGTTTCTTCACTGCAAAATGGGAATGATCCTAATAGCTTACAGCTCACTGGGTTTGGGGGAATCAATGGGATATACATCTAAAGTACACTGCACAGAGCCCACCAGTTACTAAACGCTCAGTAAGTGTTTGTGATGGTTATTGTTATTTTCCAGCTTACCTGACCAAATACTTATTGCGATCAAATGAGAACAACATTTAAGTGAAGATACTTCATAAACTACAAAGCACTGTATGTTAAATGCTATATTATCATAAATAAGAAGAAAAAATTATATCAAGTACATCAAAGAAGAAGGAAATTAATGTAAAAATTACACGTAATTCTTCAATAAGAAAAACAAACTGAGGAGTAAATGGATATAAAAACTTAAATTGGCCAGGAGGTAGTCACAACACTCCAGCTCTAAGGGAAAGCTATAATAGAAGACACCCAGAACTACTGCAACCATAGTTCTACTCTCATGAATGTGATTGTACCATTTATGTTATCTCTTATGTAAAGATTAGTATCCCCCTTCCCACCCACTGAAAAGCATACCAAGCCAACTTCTTTCAGCCCGTAGGAGAAGTCATTTCACCTTATGGTACCTGGAATTTCATGAGGACTTGTTTCTGCTCAACTTATTTTTTAAAACCAGACAAGGCGATACGGAAGTGTACTATCTTAAGAAGAAACACTGAGGAGGTATATCACATAAAAATCCTTGAAGCTTCACTTCCCCGAAAGATCTACTGCCTATTTATTTTTGAAAACTAAAGAAATCAGAGGAAAAAGCCATTTTGGTTCCATTAGGTTTGTAGGAGAATGAATGGGGTGCCTGCTGGCAGGAAATTTAATGTAGTTAGGATGTGACTGAAGCAATCAGAGAGCATTTTTACTTTTGTTTGCATGACAGATTAAGCTTGCTGCTCTCACTGTTCTTAGCTGTAAACGCCACTTCTAATAGCCTACACATACTCATAGGGTTTGCAAATGAGGAATAAAGGAGGTTTTCAAAATTGCAAATCCTCAGCAAAGCAAATTTAGCTTTCCATGAGCCTTCTCTCTGAAGAAGGTGGTTGTTTAACCCCTTGAAAGTCGACGTGAGATAAAGTCAGGGAATGTCTTTTAATATAAAATTAGAGTCTCTATAAACCACTACAAATAACAAAAAGTTTCTGTGAGTAAACATAAATTCCATTTTCTCACCTTTGCACCCTGGATGGGGGAGCAAATATTCCATATCTTGGAGAACAACTAAAATACTGCACACCTCCAACTGAACCATCATTCTTGCCATGGGGTTTTTCAAGCTCTATACCATACCAATATCCTAGAACATGAATATTTCATTTTAAAAGTATCTGTACTTTATCCAAAATCATCATGCTATTATACAACCCCAAAGTCTAGAAGGTTTTAACATTTTCACAAATGACCAAAATGATGAAAGGTCACTATAACCATTAAGCTTTCAAATGATGAAATTAGAAAATAAAATTTGACAATGAACAGGAAAAACTTTTTACAAGCATAATTGCAGAGTAGTACATTAAGGGAGGAAAATAAAATGCAAAAACACAAATTGGGCAAGGATCAGCTATTTTGCCAGCAATGTATGACTAAAATATATCTAAAAGCTATAATGAATAAGAAACTGTCAATCCTTGACTCAGTAATATAGTGTGTTTCAGTGAAAGAAGTGAAACATAATATTGAGATGTATAAATCATAAAATGAACATGCAATCTTTTTATTTTATTCTCCCAAGATTAGAATACCACAAACAGTTCTCAAATATTTAAAGGACAAAAATTATACAGAAAATACCCCTAGACATAATGACTCTGCTTTTTCTTTTTTTTCTACCCAACATAAAAAGAAAAATCATTTTTTACTTAAATTAGAAAACTTAGGTTAGCTATTAATAATAATCTTTTAAAAGACTTTCAGTATTTAAAAGGACCTACTCTGAGGAAAATAATGGGATTTCCTTTCCTAGAGAACCTAAAATTAAAGCAGCAAGGTCGCTTTTATTGTGGTTCCACTCAATATAAGGTAAATGGACACATACTCCTAAAATAAGGATATTTAGCCTGAGGGGGCCTCGAGACCAGTTTAAAATATCTAACAGTCCATTCATTTGTGATATAAAAGGAGAGTACGGTACTAATTGTATTTGCTCTCTTACACAGTTCTACTGTGTAATATAAGTAATGTCCACCAACCTTTTGTTAAGTCATACTAATGCTCTGAAAATAGGTTGCCACGTCTCTGAATGTCCCAAATCAGGTTAGTCTGGCTGCCACTGTTACCTCTCTGAGTGCCACAGCTATAATTTTTCAAGTTTTATTTCCTGTCTTTGATGTTTTCCTCTATAATTTTTGCATTTTCCCATTTTATCATATAATTGCTACATGTTTACTATATAACTCTTGAAAATGTGTAATGTACAGCAGAAATGCATTATGACAAGTGTTAATAAAGTGACTACACATCGGTAGTCATGTGGTATGGTTGTCTTCCCATTAAAATGTTAGTTTTCTTTCTCAAGGTGGCACAGATAAGTATGTTGAAGAGGCTAAACATGACCTCTCCCAGGTCTTAGATCTCATGATCTAGAAAATGCCTAGGTATTACCACTGTTCTATAGAAATGAATGATCTAAACTCTGATGCCAAAAGAAATAGGTGCCACCATCTCCTTACAAGACGGAATGACTTCAACAAAAAGTTACCAACTTTTATGTTTGCTTAATACTTCCCAAATTTCTAAATAAGTTCTAAATGCTTTACATTAGGAATTTAGAAATTAAAAGTCAACCTAAAATGAATTGTATTCAAAGAATCAAACTATTCTAACCTAATTTAATATAATCAGAGAAAGAGAACTCTCTGATTATAGGGTAATTATGAAAAATAACCTACCTGTGAGATTCTTAAGTTTTTATTTGAGAACTATATTAAGTACATCCTAAGTAATCTCAATTACTACCTGGAGACCTAAGAGAGTCATGAATTATAAAACATACAACCCATCTCAAACACATTAGTTGGCTTACAATTAAAGGTGGTATTAATGAAACAAGAATGTGTGGGGAGACAGATCTCTACAGCTCTCTCGTGTTTCTCCACGTCTCACGGGCAGAGGCAGTGACTACATTTGTTACAGACTATCTTTTCATGGATGTCTGTATAGGGGACACCTTTGGAGGATAGAAATAGTCTCTCTCCAAAGCAAAAAGGAAGGCCTGCCAAACAGTAAGTTCAGTATAAGGGTTCAGATTCCTTACGCTCAGGGTTCCTCTCCCGGGACATAAACCACTGGGCATGCAGGTAGCACCCAGACCTCTCTCTTTCACCCTGTGGGAATTGGGGCTCAGGGAACAATTCAAGAAAATGCTGATACTCTGGCTACTGCTATTATTGTGAGTGCTAAAGTCCCTTGTCTTTGACTCAGGATTCTTATGTCTTCTACGAACATCCCTAAGACTGTGGCAGGCTGATTTGTTAGCGTGTAAATAGGGTAAAACCTCAGATCCCTCAGCATTCTAGCCAGAATGCTACAAACTTTAAAAAAAAAAAAAAAAATCAATGTTCTAGGTAACCTTTTCCTAAAATGCTGCATGCAATGCCACCATGTGTTAAAATAGCATACTGCTATTTAAAACATAAAAACATGGTTTCATTCATCTGGCTTCTATTTAAAATTATAATTGCTGAAAATGCAAAAGAAAGTAATCTTTACTTTTGAAAATACAATATTGAGTATAGATTGGAATGTAAATATAAATATACAAACTCATCTTTTTAAGGTCCCAGAGTAGGCAAAAGCTTTTTCAGTTTCCTTTAAGCCCTTTTGCCTGCTTTTCTCTCCAAGCCACTCTGCTAAAAGCTGTATCATAAACTCATTATCTGCTCATTTTAAAGATTATGCTTAGCAAAAATCTAATCTTAATATGTTTTTCCTGTCATTTAGCACACTTGACAATCAGTGAGAGTCAAATTGGAGAGTTATAATTAATTTTTCTTAGCATATCCAGGGTATAAATAATAAAAAATATAATTAATTTTAACATTAGACAATTTAAAACAAAATTGGCAAGAAAAATTTATGGATGAATGATAGTCAACCTAGTAAAAAACAGTCTGGTTTTAATCATTGCTTGCATTTTCTGTGCCACAGCTACCATCCAAAAGAATTGTTAAAGAATTCTCTATAATTCAATTTTATTTACATATAAAATTTTAAAACTTTTAAATTCTAAAAATGTCAAATTGAGCAAACAATATATAGATAAGTTACCTGGAGCAAAATTTGTTGTCCCAAAGAACTTAATGGTACCAATTCTCTGGCCTACCACCAACACGCGATCTCCAAGGTGGAGTTCTCCTTCACAGCGGGTATTATTTGCTACAGATGTTGCTGAAGAATTCAAACCTGTTTAGGTGGTTGGTGGGCAGAAAGGTGCAAGGCAAGCAAAGAGGAGAGAAAACAAAGGGGGAAAAATCTCAAAAGGCACATTAGCCAAAAACTCACTATGTATTCTACGGCTTTCCTTATGTCATCTACAGTTGTACTATATTTTTCACATGTGAGGTCAAGCTTCTGAAAGGAAAGGATTTCCTGAGAAACTTATTACCATGGGAAATTCACAAAACCTGATTCTTAGTAAAGTATCAACTCTGCTAGGATTGCCTGGTACACTCTCTTCTACAACATGGGTCAGCAAATGATTTCTGTAAAGAGCTAGACAGTAAATATTCTAGCCTTTGCAAGCCATACCATCTCTGTCACAACTACTCAACTCTGCTGTTGTAGCACGAAAGTGAATATAGACAATGCATTGAAAAATATGTGCATGGATGTTTTCTGTTAAAACTTCACAGAAACAGGTAGTAGGTCAGATTTGGCCCATGGGCCATAGTATGCCAATTCCTATTCTAGTAAAGTGCTAGAATTATAGTAGTTTACCTGGATTCAGTGTAAATAATACGAAAAGGAATGTGATTTGGAGGTTAAATTGCTGTAAATTCTAATTAACCCAAATTGATTTCCTTATTAAGAACAAAACCCCTCCCTTCTCAACTTGATTCGAAACTACCCTGAAATGCCCACTATTAAACATCGGAAGTCCTAGAGAAATACTGTCTAGAAAGCTGTTCAAATATAACAGCTGAAAGAGAAGAGGTGTGCCCTTGAGACTTGTTCCATCAGTACATAAGCTGAGATTTGAATAGCTGTCATCCAGAAAGGCCCAGAGAACCCTAGATGAGTGCGTGGGATGGAGGATAAGTCATGTTGTGAAAAAGGGAGAAACTAAAAATACAGTAACTAAAGAAGTAGCATAAACCCATGGAGAAGGAAGGTCTGGATAAAGCATTACACCAAAAAGTCCTAGGTCCTCATAATGACTAATATTCCACAGCACATCACAGTTCACAAAGTGCTTTTCATAAAAATTGTAACAATAAATAAGATACAAAGTCGGAAATTAACTAAGGCACAGTGTGAACAGCCAGTAAGTGGCATACCGAGACGAAAACCCAGACCCTCTGACCAGAAATCTCAGGCCTGTCCCCATGTTGCCTGTAGACAATGGACCAAAGATGGTAAGTTCAACGATGGGGTACAATGAGGCTGAGCACAGACCACAGGCTTCCTCCCCTGCCTTTCCCATTCCCCAGATCCTTTCTTTACATTCCTCTTTCTCTAATTCTTTAACCTAATTTTCCATTATTGCCCATTCTCTGCAGTCCACATCTCCCTCAAATGCAAATCTATAGAAAAAGTGGAAAATCTACTCATCTAGGTAATGTCTCTGGAGTTCCTAACAAGGACTTTCTCTCACATTTCTCCCATTCTCTGCCCCTCACCGCCCCCCCACCATGAAAGATTCTCTTTCTCATTCCAAAAACTCTCTTTATCTTCACTATTATTTAAGCCTATATAACTCTCAAATTTATTTTTTTTAAAAAAGGTAAATATATAGGCACACTAGAAGTACTTGGTATAAAAGTGGGGAAAAAAAAAAGTAATTCCATACCCATATATCAATTTTAAAATGAAGTAAATGTCAAAAGTCCAAATGCCAAATGAAAGAGGCCTTGAAATGTAGAAAGGAGGACAAGCAGGATCTCACTGCACCTCCTCACCTCTGCTCCCTACACCTTAAAGCAAAATTGGTTGAGGTGTGGGGAAGGGCAGCTATTCAGAGAATAATTGGTTCAGCAAAACTTCCATGTCCCCTACTTTTAGGGTCCCACCTTTAAGGTTTATTATGTCAATGTTACTGTTGAGGGTTTGGGGTTTTTTCCCTATCCAATAAAATAAGTATTTCAAAAGGAAAAAAAAA